TTTCCAGACGAGACCTTGAGGAGCGGGGAGCTGCTGAACATGATCGTGGCTGTTATTGACTCTGCACAGGTGAACATTGAGCTTTGGCATCTTTCAACAAGGCCTAGAGGGCAGGACTGGGGAAATTGGAGTCTGTGTTCTCTCTCTAGGCCTGTACACGAGCACCTACACCTCAGGCACTCAGCATGGGGTGCACTTCAGGCTGTTGGGCTAGGGAAAGCAAAGCCCAAGGGAGAAGCTGGGGAAAAGGCCATTCTCTCTGATATTTCTCCATGTTCTCTGGGAGCTCTGTTTGCACTGGGGAAGCTGAGGCTGGGCAGGTGTGTTTGCATACACCACGCTCGTGTGTGTGTGTGTGTGTGTGTGTGTGTGTGTGTGTGTGTGAAGCTGAGGCTGGGCAGGTGTGTTTGCATACACGCTGTGTGTGTGTGTGTGTGTGTGTGTGTGTGTGTGTGTGTTTTGCTCTTGCCTGGCCTTCTCAGCTCAGAATAAAAATGTTTGAGTCATTTCTACTTGACCTCCATGCACAGGACTCCTGGAGATTGTAGCTTCTGTGTGCTGCTGCTGTCCTTTGCCCCCATTTATTTGTTTGTTTGAGACAGGGTTTCTCAGTGTAGCCCTGGCTGTCCTTGAACTCACTTTGTAGGCCAGACTGGTCTCAAACTCAGGGAGCTCCGACTACCTCTGCCTCCAAGCACTGGGATTAAAGGTGCGCCACCACACCCAGCTGAATTGCAAGGGTCCATGTCTGAATGGGGTGGCTCTCATTTCTCTTCATGTCTACTCAGTTCCCACTCAGAAGGATTCAGCATCAAGTCTTCCTATGTCTTTCCCTGCCCACACTAGGTCTGAGCCCAGCCTCCCAGGGTCTTCTCCCTTCAGGCCCAGCTCAGGCGGTTCCTTTCCTTTGACATCAGGGCGTGGGCATTTTTCCCACAACAGGCCTGTTCCCCTGCAAGCCTGATGCTATTGCTGTGGTACCTGACCCATGCCTTAGCCTCCTGGTCTTCAGCCTCTTTTAGAGCTCATGGGTCTGATGTTCCTTTTCCATAGCTCCAGGAGCTGGTGTGCCATGTGATGATGGGGAACCTGGTCATGTTTCGAAAGGACTCAGTCCTCAACATACTCAGTAAGTAGCCAGCTCTTCTAGCTGCCTAGAAGAGGAAAAGAATGTTATCTGTGTTTAACAGTGACAGCAAAGTGGTTCTGGGCATAGGAAACAGAGGGCTAGAGCGCCATGCCACCTCATCTCTGTGTCTTGCTCTGTAGCTTGAAAGGCTTCTTACCCTCACCTCTCCAGGCCTTGGGTTGCTGAGAATGCAGCAGTCCTCCAAAGACGGTAGCAGACGGTGTTGTCTGGGAAGAGAAAAGATCTAGATTTTAGCTCCATCTGTTTAGGGTGCTGCTAGTCAATGGATCAGCCATATGTATGTGTGTGAGAGCCGGCAGGCAGGCAGACAGACAGACAGAAGGGTTTCTTCTGTCTCTTCCAGTTCAGAGCCTGGACTGGGAAACCTTTGAGCAGTACTGTGCCTGGCAGCTCTTCCTGGCCCATAACATCCCCTTGGAGACCATTATCCCTATCCTGCAACACCTCAAATATAAGGGTAAGTAGGACCGTGGGCTGTGGGCTGGAAGAAGGTGAGTCCTTCTGCCTCTGAGGTAACCTAGAGCCCCACTCCTCACCACCAAGATATACCACAGGCCTTCTCTGAGCAGGGCACCAGGCCTCAGCACCTCCAGGCTGAGTGAGGCCCTGGTTCTTCCTGCTTCTTGGAACAAGGCTGTTCTTTCTGTTGCCGTGGTTGGCTGCGGGGTAGGAGAGGTACTCATGTATTCAACATTGCCTCCTGAACAACCTCTCTCCTCCCCCACAGAGCACCCAGAGGCCTTGTCCTGTCTCCTGCTTCAGCTCCGAAGAGAGAAGTGAGTTCCAAACTGGGTGTCTCTGGATCCCAACATTCCAAGAGATACTGAGCCACAAACTTTGCTACTTTGGCCATGCTTCCTACTGTGGCCATCTGCCTGTCCCTGCCCTCTCCTTCATGACTCACAAATAAGCAGCTCCCTGGGCTGTCCTCAGAGGTGGGACGTGGGGACTAGACATCCCCATTTTCAGCTGCTCCCTTCCCTACACTCCTCAGACTGCCACAGGGTCATCAAAAGGGAAGGGCCAGGGACAGGGAGCCACACCTACCTTTATCACCTTTACAGAGAAGAACCATTGCACTGCCTAATGGAGGTATAGTGGGAGAGAGGGCAAAAGGCCTCCTCCACTTAGGTGCATCACTGGCAGTAACCCTGGACAAATGAGGCAACAGTCATGTGCCTTTTCCTACCTTTTTTCTTTTGTCGCTTTTGGTTTTGGTTTGTTTTTGAGACCAGGTCTCATATAGCCCATGCCAGCCTCAACATAAAGTTTTGTAGCCAGAGATCACTTAGCTGTTGAGTTTTCTGCCTCCGCCTCCCAAGTGCTGAAGTTTGTAGCCTTCTTGCCTTCTTAATCCTGTCTGGCCTGAGACTCTAGAGAAAGTAGAAAGTTAGGGAGGGCCCTATGGGGACTGTAGCTTACCTCCCACCCCTCCTCAGGCTGGATGCTAAACTGACCTAAGGCTACAGCACTGTGGGACTAAGGAGCATCTGTTAAGATGCTGTGTCCTTTTGCTTCCTGGGGCTTCTGACTCCTCTGGGGGAAGTCAGGGCCTCATTCTTGACATTCGTAGACATGCCTCCTACCACCACAAAAGTGGAAGATTCTCACTTCTCATCTGGCTTCTGCAGAGAATGAAACCAGCAATTCCTTGGACCAAAGAGAAGGGGGAGAGGGATGTGAGAGGAGGAAGCCACAGGGGCGAAGGCAGCAGAGATACAGCAGTTCCCGGGGCCAGACAGCTGTGTGTGTGTGTGGCTGGCACCCAGCATGCTTTCCTTCACAGGCCCAGTGAGGAGATGGTGAAGATGGTGCTGAGCAGGCCCTGCCATCCTGACGACCAGTTCACTACCAGCATCCTCAGGCACTGGTGCATGAAGCACGATGAGCTGCTGGCAGAGCACATCAAGGCCCTGCTCATCAAGAACAACAGCCTTCCCCGCAAGAGGCAGAGGTGGGCACAGTCCCTGCCTCCTGGTGCCGCAGCAGGCCATCACCAGGGTAGTCCCACAACTGCACACTCCCTGAGCCCTCCCCAGCCCTGTGTCCTTTAGGACTGACTCTGACCTAAAGAGGGACCCTGGTGGAGTGGAGAGACTTGACACTCTGCCTCTCCACCCAGCCTCAGGAGCTCTAGCAGCAAGCTGGCCCAGCTGACCCTGGAACAGATCCTGGAGCACCTGGACAATCTAAGACTCAACCTGGCCAACACCAAGCAGAACTGTATGCTGCCTCCCTCCCTGTTCCCTTCCTTTTGGGCCATTGGGGAGGTGCTGCCCTGGCTCAACCCCCCCAGTCATAGGGCAGGGATGAGATGCCTGGACCCACAGAAGAAGCAACTTTCGGTGCTGCGTAGTAAGCTTCCTGACACATTAACTGTGCGTCCCTCCTCTCTCTTCTGTAGTTTTTAGCCAGACACCAATCCTCCAGGCGCTTCAGCATGTCCAGGCAAGCTGTGACGAAGCCCACAAGATGAAGTGAGGCTCCTTCTACTTGGGAAATAGTGGGAGAAGAGGGACAAGAGGTCTGCTGGGGACATAAACTTAAAGGCCAGCAAGACCCTGGGTTGAGAAACAGAGACTAGGTTGGGTGCTGAGAACACAGTGGGAGGGCCCTGAACAGGATGCCCCTCTCAGGAAGCCTGTTCCTCTCAGGTTCAGCGACCTCTTCTCCCTGGCGGAGGAATATGAGGACTCTTCCACTAAGCCACCCAAGAGCCGGAGGAAGGCAGCCCTGTCCAGCCCTCGAAGTCGAAAGAATACTGCCCAGCCCCCCAATGCTGAAGAAGAGTCGGGCTCCAGCAGTGCTTCGGTGAGACGCACAGCCAGTGTGAGGGGGAGGGAGTGACAGGCGCAGGCGGGGTGTGGCCAGCCCTGTCCAGGCTAGTAATTGCCTTGTGCACCTCTCATTTCTTCAGGAGGAGGAAGACACGAAGCCTAAGCCCACCAAACGAAAACGAAAAGGCTCCTCTGCTGTGGGTTCTGACAGTGACTGAAGCCAGGTGTTCCCAGCTGCCTCAGCCTGAGAGATGCAAGGGTGTACCCTTCCTAGTCCCCTCACTTGGGGTAGGATCGAGCTGCTTCCTGTGGCCCAACCTGAGAAACTTCCATGCAGCTCCACCCCTCCTCTTACCCCAGGGCCTCCAGCTCTTTTCATCCCCTCTCCACTGCTGCTCCCCCGGGGCGGTTCTCACAGCAGCCAGAAGCTGTGCAAAACCAGGCCATGGTGGAAGTCCTTAGCCCTTGGCTCCTCCAGTCTCCAGAGAGCCAGAGAAAGGAGTGATCAAGAGGCTGCTGGAAGCTAGGATGACAGCAGATACTTCGTGAATGGGCGTCTTTCCTCCTTCCCTTCAGTCGGCATTTGTTCTGAACAGACTTTGCAGTCTGTGGACGGTGGTCTATTCACCAGTGTGAAATGGGCACCTGACCTGGTGTGGGCAGTGCCCATCTGGGCAGATGCCACAGCTCTCAGACACGAACCTGATGACAGCGTGAGAGCCTTTTATTGCACCTGGGACGCTTGGGTTGGCCCAACATTGGCACTTCAAGCTGAGCCAGAGCCCAGGGGAGTCCCAGAGGCAAGTTCCTCAGAACTGTCAAATGGCCTGATTTCTGTGGTTCTGTTTTTGCTTTTTCTTTTGGCAAAGATAATCGAGTTTTAAAATTGTTTTTAAGTGATAATGAAACAAGCCAGAGCATCTTTTGTGCCTGAGTTGATATCTGTGTTCATCCTGTGTATATAAGAAGCTGTGTTTAATTTGATGCGGGTCTATTTGTGCCCCCCTCCCTGACACAATGGCCACAGGAGGGACTCGGCTACCCTTCCCACTAAAAGTGAGAGTCAGGTATCTGACCTTTCCACTTAGAAGCTGATGCTGGCACCATCTCCTACAGGCAGGCCTTGCCCCTTGCTTCTCAGGAACTCCGTCATTCAGGGGGTTTGGGGAAGATGGCTCAGTAGACACAGTACTTAAGCATGAAGACCAGAGTTCTGATCCCAGAACCAATGCAAGTGCTAGGTGGATGTGACCTTGCCTACCTGTGGTCCCAGAGCAGTAAGGTGGCTAGCTAATTATACCAATATTGGTGAGCTCAGGGTTCAGTTGAGAGACCCACCTCATTGAGTGAGATGGAGAGTGGTCTAGGAGGATCCTGACCTCCGCCTTGGGCCTCCACACCCATGATACACGTGTGCACTCACGTACAAACATGGACATACTCCACACATCTAACTTCATACCGTCCAAAAGCTAGTATTTGTCCTCCACTTAGTTAAGTGCATGCTTTCTGAGGGGTTGAGTTTTGAAGGACAGAGCATGGAAGTTGTGATACCAGTGATAAGAGACCCTCCTAGTCTGGCTGCTTGCTGTCCCCATGTAGCAGCAGGGAAGCAGCCCAGGCTGTGCTGTTAGTTCCCCTGTGAGTTGACATTCGATGCTTTGCTGAGGTGTGGAGACATTAGTGTATATACTTCCTTGGATTCAGCCTAGACGTTTGACTCTTCAGAGAATCCATGCTCCTCTAAAGCCACTACTTTTGAAAATCTAAACCACCAGAGGCCTTTTTCTTCCTCTTCCCGTCCCCAGTTTCCACTGCTCTGATTAAAACCAGAATGGGAAGCATTTGCTGGCTGGTCCCAATTATTGTACCCTTGCCTAAAATGAAGGGCCTCCCTCCCTCCAAAAATCTGGCAGTCTTGCCTCCCCACCTTTCCCCTACTTAACTCTCGGGCCTCCACCCATTCCCTGGGGTTGCTACTGCTGCTGGTAGCTGGAGGCAGCACATGGATCTGGCTGCCCTGCTGGGACTTGCAGAACCAAACGGGCTAGGGGCCAAATTCCTCAGTCTCCTTGGAAAGAGAGCAATGGTACCATCCCATCACGGGTGATAAAGAACCACCAGAGGAAAGAATGGCAGACGCGCTCTGGCTCCTGAACCAGGACTCGTTTAGCCAGCCAATAGCTTAGGCTGCCTTCAAATGCAACACTGTGGGGTTGAGGGTAGGCACCTCTTAAGACCTGACAGGCTACTGGCCACCAGCAGTCAAATTCCAGGGCGAGTGCGCCTAGGGCGGGGCCTGGGCTGTAGGGAGGGCCGGGCCGCCCCCCACTCGCACTCCTGGCTCCCGCGCCACACCGCAGAAGCTGGGTGGGAAGGGAGGGTGCTAGCGCACGCGCGCCACGCTCCCAGGGACAAGCCTTCTCCGAGTCCGACCAAGATCAGTGTTTCAGGAAGGACCACCCGGAGTGTATGCGTGCCGCCGGGGTGGACCAGAGGAAGAGGGTACCATGGCGGTCCTCTTGCTGCTGCTGCCCCTACTCTTGCTGCTGCCTCTGCTGCTGAAGCTGGACCTCTGGCCTCAGCTGCGCTGGCTGCTGGCGGACCTGGCCTTCACAGTGCGCGCCCTCCGCTGCAAAAGGGCCCTTCGAGATCGCGCGCTGGCTGCAGCGGCCGCAGACCCGGAGAGCCCTGAGGGCGGCTGCAGCCTGGCCTGGCGCCTCACGCATCTGGCCCGGGAGCGTCCCACGCACACCTTCCTCATTCACGGAGCACGGCGCTTCAGTTACGCAGACGCAGAGCGCGAGAGCAATCGGGCTGCCCGTGCTTTCTTGCTCGCACGCGGCTGGGCTGGGGGCCGCGGCGGCTCTGGCACCGGCAGCACCGAGGAAGGCGCACACGCGGCGGCGTCTGCTGTCGGAGACTCGGCGGCTGGAGGAGGGACGACCGCTCCCGCTCTGGTACCCGGGGCGACTGTGGCGCTGCTTCTTCCCGCGGGCCCGGAATTCCTATGGCTTTGGTTCGGACTGGCCAAAGCCGGTCTGCGCACGGCCTTCGTGCCCACCTCCCTACGCCGAGGACCCCTGCTCCACTGCCTCCGCAGCTGCTGTGCAAGCGCGCTGGTGCTGGCGCCAGGTAAGGCTGCCTTGCCAGAGGGGGCGTGTCTGATCCCTGGACCAAGTTGCAGAAGTGAGTGGAAATCAGAGGCCTGGGTTTGGGAAGGGATGGCTCTGAACCCAAATGATTCCCAGGTCGTTGGATTACGGGTCGCAGGCGGGACATGGGATACCCATAGTGCCACCCTCACCCTAGAGCATTGCACAGGGACAGAGAGCAAACCAACGGGTGACGAAGGCTTTAGGATAGCTGGAGAGCCATGAAACTCAATTTGCCCATCCTTGTAGAGTTCCTGGAGTCCCTGGAGCCTGACCTGCCGGCTATGAGAGCCATGGGACTCCACCTGTGGGCGACAGGCCCTGAAACTCATCTTGCTGGAATCAGCAATTTTCTGTCTGAGGCAGCAGCCCAAGTGGATGAGCCAGTGCCTGGGTACCTCTCTGCCCCCCAGAGTATAATGGACACCTGCCTGTACATCTTCACCTCTGGCACCACTGGTGAGGACTGGACAAAATACTTCTGAGATGCTGAGGCAGAGGGTGGCAAGGTCTGGGGAGAGGATGGGGCCTCTTAAACTTTCAGGTCACCCTGGACATCATCACAGGCACAACTGCTCCCCTTCCACTCCCCACTTTTGCAGGATATAGAGCTCAGTCCCTTCACCTGACTGTGCCCCTCTTGCCTCCCCTCAGGCCTGCCCAAGGCCGCTCGCATCAGTCACCTGAAGGTCCTGCAATGCCAGGGGTTCTACCAGCTGTGTGGAGTCCACCAGGAGGATGTGATCTACCTCGCGCTCCCACTGTACCACATGTCTGGCTCCTTGCTGGGCATCGTGGGCTGCTTGGGCATCGGTTAGTCTCCCTCACATATTCCTCCGGCACAGTGGTTCCCAACCTTCCTAAAGCTGTGACCCTCTAATACAGTTCCTCATGTTGTGGTCACCCCCAGCCATAAAATTATTCCATTGCTACTTCATAACTTGAATCATAAATATCTGGTATGTGACCCAGGGCGTCACAACCCACCGGTTGAGAACCACTGCCTCAGCAAGTGTTGAGGTACCTTCTATGCCTGGCTTGCTGGGGAAGTACCCTGACTGCTTTACTCCCAGCACTCAGGAGACAGAGGCAGGCAGATCTTCTTGAGTTCAAGGCCAGCCTGGCCTACAAAGCAAGTACCAGGACAGGCTCCAAAGCTACACAGAGAAACCCTGTCAGGAAAACAAAAACAAACAAGAGAGAGAGAGAGAGAGAGAGAGAGAGAGAGAGAGAGAGGAAGAAAGACTCCTGGTATAGTGGGAAACATTACCCACTCAGGGCCATAGGCTGGGCAACTATGAACTATGGAGGCTGCACAGTTCACAGACTTCAGGGAGGAGAAAGAGAAGGGTTGTGTCGATCCAGGAAGGACATTAGCCTCGCCAAACACAAGTGGGGAAGGATTCAGTCACCACAACCCCCTAAAGGCACGAATCCAGCAGGTCCTCCTCAGGGAGCAAAGGTCAAGATCATCTCTTGAACTCTCCCTTTTCTGGCAGGTGCCACGGTGGTGCTAAAGCCCAAATTCTCAGCTAGCCAGTTCTGGGAAGATTGCCAGAAGCACGGAGTGACAGTGTTCCAGTACATTGGGGAGTTGTGCCGATACCTTGTCAACCAGCCCCCGGTAAGTATGCTACAGAGCCGGCCAGACAAGGGGAGACACTGATAGCGTCATCTGGAAGCTGGAGAGAGGGAGCCAGGAGAAGAAATAGTACCATGCCAGTAGCCCACAGTCGAACAGCCCCTCTATTCCCAGGAGGCAGAAGGAGAGCACAGTGGGAGGAGGTTCTGGAGAATGAGGAACAGAACTTCTCTCTGGGGATCTGGAAGCTTGGTGTTGTAGCCCCTGCTTCTCTCTCACTTATCTCAGAGCCAGGCAGAACATGGCCACAAGGTCCGGCTTGCAGTGGGCAGTGGGCTGCGCCCAGACACCTGGGAGCGTTTTGTGCGGCGCTTTGGACCTCTGCAGATATTGGAGACATACGGGATGACAGAGGGCAATGTGGCTACTTTCAACTACACCGGCCAGCAGGGTGCTGTGGGACGCGCCTCCTGGCTTTACAAGGTGAGAGGTGGGAAGGCCATGTGAGCCCTAGAGCAGTAGGGGGACAGTGAGAAAGAAAGCAGGCCGTGAAACTGGTGACCCAGTATGGCTCTCCCCTTCCCCAGCACGTCTTCCCCTTCTCCTTGATTCGATATGATGTCATGACAGGGGAGCCTATTCGGAATGCCCAGGGGCATTGTGTGGCCACATCTCCAGGTTTGTACTTGGTTTGGGGTGAAGCTGGCAGGCAAGGTTGGACCTGGCAACTGAGGTCGGGTGGGGCCTAGAGGTTCAGGTAACACTGGGTAACCCGCTCCTAACCCCAGAACTCTTCCAGATGAGCCAGGGCTACTGGTGGCCCCAGTAAGTCAGCAGTCCCCTTTCCTGGGCTATGCTGGGGCTCCAGAACTGGCCCAGGGGAAGCTGCTGAAGGATGTCTTCCGGCCTGGGGACGTTTTCTTCAATACTGGGGACCTCTTGGTCTGTGATAAGCAAGGCTTTCTTCACTTCCATGATCGTACCGGAGACACTTTCAGGTATCTAACTCCCCGATCTTCCCAGACTTCCAAAGCCAGTGAGTCAAACCTCAGAAAGCCAGCTCTGTGCTCTCCCACCTCACCCCGTGTCCAACCCCATCTCTCTTTCTCAGGCTTCATCAGCTACATTATTTCCTAACCTCTTTATCTCCTCAGCAGCATTCCCCCGCCTCCATTTCCGTCCACTCTCCCAACAGGTGGAAGGGGGAGAATGTAGCCACAACTGAGGTGGCAGAGGTCCTCGAGGCCCTGGACTTCCTTCAGGAGGTGAACGTCTACGGAGTCACTGTGCCAGGTGCTTGGGCATGGGAGGTGGGGAGTCGTCTAGCACACTACCCCACATAGTAGTGCTCAGGCCCAAGGATTAGAAGGCCTTATGTGTTTCCCACACCCACCAGGGCATGAAGGCAGGGCTGGCATGGCAGCCTTGGCCCTGAGGCCCCCACAGGCTTTGGACCTTGTGCAGCTCTACGTCCATGTTTCTGACAACTTGCCGCCTTATGCCCGACCTCGATTCCTCAGACTCCAGGTAACCAGCCATTCCTGCCCCAACCCCTCACCCATGTGTCTGCCACTGTTAGTGGTTCTTAAACCCCACAAAGGAGCCCCAGGTAGGATACTTTCCTTTCTCCCTGATAAGAAAGGACACTTCCCCCTGCTAGATGTATGCTTCTCATTCCCCTTTTCTCTCTCTCTCTCTCTCTCTCTCTCTCTCTGTGTGTGTGTGTGTGTGTGTGTGTGTGCGTGTGTGTGTGTGTATGAACGTGTGCATGCTGGTGTGTGCATGTGTGAATATGGAGTTCAGAGGACAACCTTGGGTGTCATCCTCAGGAACGCCAGCCACCTCCTTTGAGGCAGGGTCTCTTGCTGTCTTGCAGGCTGAACAGTTAGGGTAGATTGGCCAGTGAATCCCAGAGATTCCATCTCTACCCTCTCCCAGCTTTTTTCAAGGATTCTGATGATGGAGTCCCAGGTCTTTATGCTTGGATATGCTCTTTGCTGACTGGGCTATCTCCCTTAATATCCCCTCCTTCTTCAGGCTTGGCTCACTCTTCTCTGTTGCCGTCTCACCTTAGTTTTAGTGTCCTCCAACTCTCTTTGAAAACACCTTTCTCTCTCTCCCCAGGAAACTTTGGCCACTACCGAGACCTTCAAACAGCAGAAGGTCAGGATGGCAGCTGAGGGCTTTGACCCCAGTGTGCTGTCTGACCCTCTCTACATTCTGGACCAGGATGTGGGCGCTTACTTGCCCCTCACACCTGCCCGGTTCAATGCTCTCCTATCTGGAGACATTAGAATCTGAGACTTCACCTTAAGGGAGGAGCTCTGGGGGCACAGGCCACCATGGCTGTATCAGGGATTTGGGGGTATCTTTTGTATATGGAATCATTATCATTTTATAATAAACAGCTAGACCTTATCTGGCTCATCTTGGTGTGTCTGTGGGCTGCTTTTCCATGGGGCCCCAGCTCCACATTCCTATCCTGACCTTACATGACCCTCAGCTGTGGATGAGCCTCTCAGATAACCACACCTGACCCTGGTTGGTCCTGGAGAAGCCCTGGTGGTTGATGTTTGTGCTCGTTTACACTGCTCTGCCTCAGGAGCTGTAGGAGCCCAAAGGACTGACTCAGATGACAGCAGCAGACAGAGGCACTCAAAAACACACTCCCCCCACTGCCCACCCCCATGGACTCCTGCACTGCTCACAGCTTATGTGTGGCTGGTCGTGAGGAAGTCTCAACCAACCATGGAAAGAAATGTGGGCAGGGTGGGGAAGGCAATGCAGTGTTGTAGAGAAGCCAGTCAGGGGAAGGGAGCCATCAGCCACAAGACTCCAGTGTCCCTGTTCCCGGCCAACCATAGTCACACTTCAAGAAGGGGAGAGTTTGACTTCCACAGGGTTCTGAGAGCCTGCAGGGGTGCAGTAACAGGGGTGGTGGGAGGCAAAGAGGGAAGAGGACTCTCCTTATCTCCTGAAGGAGGAATTCAGAAACTCACTGGTCCCCCAGGAACCAGGTCACCTCTCTGTTTTGAGGCCTCTGTTTCAGCCGTGGTTGCGGCCTTTGTGTTTCTGTCTCCTCCACTTCCCTCCCCAACATGAGCGATCAGAAACGTCCTTTGAAGGCTGGAGAGGACCCAGTGGCTGAGAGCTCTTGCTGTTATGGCTGAGCAGTTCTCCCACCTTGAATCAAGCAGCTCAAAACTTGACTCCAGTTCTTCTGGCCCTTGTGGGCACCAGGCTTGGATGCACACTATATACATACGCACATGAAGGCATACACATAAAATGTTTAAATAAGAAGGGTTTCTTAGTTATTTTTATAAAGGAAGAAACAGGCCTCACCTCCAAAGCTTGGGTCCCTACTGCCAGCCCTCTTGATCCAAAGCCTGCATCCAGCCTCATCCTCACCAGCAAGCTCAGATCAGCCTCCCTGAAAGTAGAGCCCACTCTAACTGAGATTGAGGCAGCATCCACACACTGACTGATTCATTAGGAATTTGGCTCACTGCTCACTTTTCCAGTCTGCCCCAGAGAGAGTACAACAGTGATGTAAGCTGGGTGGGGTGGGTAGGCAAATATGCGAGCTGACTAACAGTAGCTCTCTCCTGTGACAGTTCTCATGTAAGCTCTGCCCAGGGCTTCCTGGCCCAGGAGCTCAGTGGACACCTCCTCCCTTGTGGAATCATTGACTCAAACAAATTTGCACTGTCTGCTAGGGTAGCTGCTAGTCACATGAGAGGTTGCCATGTGTCAAAAATGGGATCTGCTGTGAACATGCATGCAATAAATACATACCACATGAAAAATAGGAGGACACACATTCGTTAGTAGTTGTATTATATTCAAGTAAAGTGATGTACACTTGTATTCCCAACTCTTGGGAGAATTATTTGAGCCCAGGAGTTTGAGTTCAGCTTGAGAAACAGCAGAAACCTATCTCAAAAAACAGTAGGAGGCTGGGGGTGTGGTTCAGTCAGTAGAGTGTTTGCCTAGACTGCAGGAAGCCTAGGTTTGATGCTCAGCACCACATAAAACCATAAAGCCTGGTGTGGTAGCACACACCTGTAATCCTAGCACTCAGGAGATCAGAAGTCAGTCATCCTTGGCTACAGAGTGAGTTCGAGTCCAACTTAGGCTACATAAGACTCTTCTTCAAAAAATGAATAGAATGCTTTTACGTTATATATTGCTTAGATGATGAGATACAATCTTGAGTTTATGGAGTCAAAGCCTTAATATTGCATTGGAAAAGCATTGCTACTTTAGAATTACGTGGCTCGCTTGCTTTCTCCATCTTCCAAATCATTCAGTTTTTTCACTGTTTTTTTTCGTTATGGCTCACACATTTCTGCTGCAGAGTGCTGGCCTAAATGCTGACCTCAAACTTCCCTCTGTAGTAAAACATTAGTTGTGAATGCCGATGTCTGCTCTTACCCACAGCCTGGGAGGAAGGGGACTCAGCACAGAAGCCTAGCCCAGGGGTGAGTCCTGGGACCAGCTATTGCTTAGCCCTATCTCAGAGGCTGCAACTCTGAGATAAAGGGGAAAGCTTAGCTGGGCAGTGGTGGCACACACCTTTAATCCCAGAGGCAGGCAGATTTCCCAGAGGCAGGCAGATTTCTGTGAGTTCGAGGCCAGCCTGGTCTACAAAGTGAATTCCAGGACAGGCTCCAAAGCTACACAGAGAAATTCTGTCTAGAAAAACAGCAACAACAACAAAACTCCAAAAAACAAAAAACCAAAATGGTCGGTGGGAGCTTGCAAGTAAACCTTATTTTTTTTTTAGTGGGAGAGGCCTTCCATACAGACTCTTACGTTTATTTTAGCTCAGTTGGTCTTAAACTCACTGTGTAGTCCAGTCTGGCCTTGAAATTCCGTGCCTCAGGCTGACTTAATTCAAAAGAATTAGGTTTTCCTACAAAATAAATAATAAATAAAGTTGATACAAAAGTAAATAGGAGCCAGGCGTTGGTGGCGCACACCTTTAATCCCAGCACTTGAGAGGCAGAAGCAGGTGGAACTCTGTGAGTTCGAGGCCAGCCTGGTCTACAGAGCAAGTGCTAGGACAGCCTCCAAAGCAAGACAGAGAAACCCTGTCTTGAAAAAAATAAAAAAATTAAAAATTAAATAGGACTATGAGATAACTGTAAAATTTGCTGGCTGGTGCTCTTTTATCAGGGCATGGTCAATGGCCCTGAGAAGCCACAGTGGGAAGAGTCATAGTTCACAGTGTTCTCGGAGCCCTTTTTTTTTTTTTTTTTTAATTATTTACTGGGCCGGAAGCAAAGCCACAGTGTACATATGGAGGTCAAAGGACAGCCTGCTGGATTTCATTGTCCGTTTTCTCCTTCCACTATATAGGGCTTAGGGATCAAATTTGGGTCATCCAGCTAGGCACCTGGCGTCTTTCTCAACCCAGCTGTCTCCCCAGTCTCCCAGCAGCGTGTCTGTGAACACTTAACGGCCAGGAGGAAGGGCACCCCATCTCAAGGCAAAAATCCAAAAACTGTGACCTCTGTTTTTGTACAGAATGCATGCAGAAAGTTTTCATATTTTTAGGTGCTTGAGAAAAATCAAGAGAAGTGTAAGATTCTAGGAGTTCGATTTTCAATGCTCTAAGCAAAGACCCCTCCATGACTTCAGAATTGCCTGCGAAAGCTTCTGTGTCAAACAGGACTAAGATCTCAGGGCCTGCAAAGCTTCACCGTTTGGAAGCAGCCTTGACATTTTCCAACACCTGGGCCTCATCTCTTAAGAAGATTTCGGTCACCAGGAGACAAAAGCCTGGAGACTCCTCCTAGTCGGACCTGCACAATACAAGCCAGGGCTCACTGTACAAGCTCACACAGTGTCAGGAAAGGCCAGAGGAGTCATCTTGCTCCATGCTTGAAGGGGCAAGCTACTCACCTGCCTTCTGAGGAGCCTCCCCTCCCCTAGCTGGCCCTGAAGCTGAGAGATGAATGCAGGGGCGGGACCCCATCACTAGGCGCCTGGATGATATGACTTTGTGGGAGTGAGGTGGCACTTCCAGCCCCAGGAATGTACACAAGTGTTCACAGAGCTCTACTCCTAGCACAGCGGGTGCTTCACAGTGCTACAGTTTAACCTTCAAGCAGGGCACTGTGGACGTCTGTCCTAGCCACTCCAGTGCTGTAATGGGAAGGTTCAGGACTCAGTGGTACCCCATCTCAAAACAAAATAAAGAAAACAAACTCTTCAGAATGTTTTCATCATCCCAAAGAGAACAACCTATCCATTACCAGTCGTTACCTAGTCTTCCTTCATGCTGCCCTGGAAGTCACACAACCACTGTCTTTGTAGATTTGTGCATTCTAGATACTTGTGTTTGTTTTAACTAGTAAGTTACCGATAGGATAACCTCTCTCAGGAAGTCACTGTGTAGACCAAGCTGGTGCAGAAAAGGCATCAGCTAGCACACCCAGCTTAGACATATTATGTAAGTGAGACCATAGACTATGTGGGCTTCTATGTGGGCTTTTATATGTTTTTGTTTTGTTTTGTTTTGTTTTTTCAAGACAGGGTTTCTCTGTGCCTTTGGAGGCTGTCCTGGAACTCACTCCGTAGACCAGGTTGGCTTCGAACTCACAGAGATCCGCCTGCCTCTGCCTCCGCCTCCCAAGTGCTGGGATTAAAGGCGTGTGCCACCACTGCCTGACCATTAAGTGGGAAGGTTTTTTTTTTTAATTTTTATTTTATTAGTTCAAATTAGGAACAAGCTTGCTTCAGATGTCAATCCCTTCTCCTTCTCCCTCCCTCCCCCCCAACATCCCACCTGCCCCTAGCCATCCCCTCTCCATTCCCCAGGCAGGGTAAGGCCCTCAAAAGGGGCTCCCCAAAGTCTACCACATCATCCTGGGCCAGGCCTAGACCCTTCCCCATGTGTCCAGGTCAAGAGAGCATCCCTTCACATGGGATGGGCTCTCAAATTACCTTTTTTTTTTTAAGACCTTACATATTTAATACAGTTTGTTACCCCTATACAAATGGAAAAAAATAAGTTCAACATTTCTAGAACAATATGGGTGTTAATTTTTGTACAATGCCAACTGAACGCAGTAAAGTGGGAAGTTTTATTGGGGGAAAGGGAAGGGAATGGAAGAAGGGAGATGGGGGGAAGAGAGAGAAGAGACAGAAAGTCCTGCCTGCCCCTTCAGAGGAACAGCAGGAAAGCTATCTTTTTTTCACTTAGCATATTTTACTTTATTTACTTGCTGTTATCATTTGTTATTGTTATTGTTATTATTATTATTATTATTTGAGACAGCGTTTCTCTATGTAGCTCTGGCTGTCCTAGAGCTCACACTGTAGACTTGGGCTGGCCTTGATCTCGAGCTCTGCCTGCCTCTGCCTCCCGACTCTGGGACCAAAGGCACCACCACAACCTCCATTTGGAAATGTTCTCC